ATGGATGGTGTTGTAAACACAGCCCTGTGATTCGTTTTATATGAAGCAGGCAGCAGTATCCCTACCGGCCTATCGGAGGTTTGACTTTAATAAGCATCAGCCGCCAAGGGAGCATTTCCCCCTCCCTCCCCGTTAGGACAGAGGACAATTATATCACTTCTGGTATCTTCTCAGCCCTTCCAGACTGCAGCTGCATCACCTACTGGTGTTCTCCCTACAACCACCTCTTGTACAGTTTCTTCCCTAGGCATTCATGGTACAATGGCTATTTTCTATTCTTCCTTGGGAACCAATTTTTTGCTTTTGATCTCCCTGGGTTCCCAGTCCCGAAATGTTATGAGCTGTGGTTTCAAAAGAACCCAACATTTCAGTAAAAACAAGTAAGTTTTCCTTGGTTTCTGATCCAAATTAGCCAAATTGTGCATGATTGACTTGTGATGCACATTTATGAACAGGTCTAGGACTATCAGAGCTGAGCCCAGATTTCTTCAAAAGGTGTGAAAGATTCAGTAAATGCAATATTTAGCCAGACATCTTGCATGTTGTCACTTCACTGAAAATACTACACTAACCTACAGCTTCTTCTTGTTGGCTGGCCTACAAAGCGGCACTTCACAGGACTGCACAAGAAACCTACAGCTGGGTTTCCTCTCACATCCATGTAGGTCCAATGAGTTTGGAGGATTTCTTCCTAATTTGGGTGGATTCAGCAAAGTATGTGCCTACAGGTACCCGAGTAGCCTAACTGAAGTACTAGTACTTAGATTAGGCATATTAACAGCCAAACTGTGCCTAACTTTAAGATCACATGCTTAGAGTTAGACATGGACATATGGACAGTGCTGAATTGGGACTGGAGAATTTTATCCCATTTAATCTGTGACATGTTCAGTGATTTAAAGAGAATGCTTTTCCATCAGAACTAGCACACAGGATGCAGCTGTTAACTTTCACCACAGTACAGGCCAAAGACAATTAAAGATTGAGGCACCACAGAGGTTACCACAGTGCATCATCTGACGGGGAACTGTGAGCCATTAACCTTTCCAGTGGCACTTGGAACGAGGAGCTGGAAGATAAACACATTGGGTAGGAAACAAATTGGTTCATTGGAACGCTATTAATGTGCGTGCCCTTGGAGGCCACATTTATGTTTTCGGAAAATTACACATTCATGCATAATGAAGCGAGATATAGCTCACAGATTACTGCTAGGTTACAGAGCCCAAGATTAGGATTTAGAGCAGGTCCCTAATTCTCTAAACATTTGCAAATTAAGTATTTACAAATTTAATGCTGAATATTTCATTGCTGTCTTCAGATTCCCCATCATTTGACGGTTTCATTTTGTACTGAACGTGAGCAAAGGGTTTATTATCCAGTAACAGTGAGTATGAGTTACTGAGGTTATTACTTGAATTACAGTTGCATGGAAAGGCCCTAAGAGAGTACCATACATACACTTAGAGAGAAGTAGCCCC